AGTCTATGAGGTAGACGCACAAGAATGGCAATGTAGGAAAAGCACCCTTCGTCCAATTTTTGTTGTTCTAACTTATGCTGTGAGGGTTTTTCAAACAATGCTTTGGTTTGGTTTATGTCGTTATCCATCCAAAAATTGTTTCAAACTGTTCATTAATGATAGAGTTGTGGTGAAAGGCGTTGGGACCCAAAATGTTGTTGTGACGTGCATATACAAAGCTCCTTTTCGGAATGTCCTGGTCTAATCTTTAAAAAAAAACAAATTCAGCTGTAACCACTGGCCATTTCCAGTCAGTTCAGCGTCCACACACCACACCGGGGCACTTGTGTTTACCCTCACTAGAGTAAACTTCACCCGATGAGTGAAACTTCCACCTGAGAAGGCGTTGCTTGAGGAGCCAGTTAACACGTGTGGCCGCGTGATGTGGATCCCGTCACTGAAGGATGAGCGGCGCGATATCCTGTGTAAGTGCGAGTTAATCACACTGTTGATCAGCCGCCTGTGGCCGAATGGTTCGAGACATCGCAGTTTCGTAAGATGCGCACTGCTGATGATTCTTCACTAGTTCCTCTGAATTGAAACCACCAACATCTGGTCTTAGGTCTTGGAAAATAGGTTGAACAAACGTCCCTTGATCAGATGGCCAAAACCAACAGCGACTTAGCGGTACAACTCAAAACTGCGGCACGGACGATTAATGCACTTTTCAGTCCGATTTTCAAGGTGAACTGTCGACAACGGACGTTATATCCTCACATGATTAGTAAATCAGTTACTACGGCTAGTTTTACTAAGTGAAAAACCTAGTCAAAATTGCAGCTGTACAAGTTAGAGGTTTCGAAAGGAAGCTAACGAACTTTCAGAAAATACTTCCCACGTGTCACACATGGAAATGGTACGCTTGGCTGAACAATCGATTATCCGACTGAACAATAATTTGAAGTGCTCTTCAGCTGGTCGTTGTGTAAGCCTGAGGGATAAAAGCAAACTGTGCAATAAGGCGTAAACAATTTGTGGTAATGGTGAACAAGGTCACACGGAGAAAGCAACATCAGGCAGACAAACCGGAAAGCAAGCACCAGGTGTTAATGGTCGCACAAGCGAGTATGGCCGAAGTTGCGTTCTCATGATAGCAAGAGGCTTAATAGCTGTTGATATTAGAAGCGCAAAGCAGTTATCGGGCCGATGAAGAGCAAACACAGTGGTCAGCATGATTTATTCTGACCGTCAGATTACGAGAAGGGGGGACAGTTTTGGTTTACTAGGCGAACTACCCAGACAAAATTAGGAGTTGATCGAATCGACAGGCGTTAAACTATCTTACCGTGTTTACACTATCATACCTGGAGTATTGTCTTAATGTATGAAATTATTTTACTGTCGCATAGTTTCATTAGACCTGAAGAACAGGCGAGGACTGAGATTTTGCTAGACTGCTAAAGTGAGCAGAGAGACCAAGGATTGATTTCCAGCGAGCTGGTTGCCTGGAAATGAATAAATCTTCTTACTTGGCCTATTTGTTGGATCAGCTGATCCCACATGTCGCGTACACCGTCGAGAAAGGGATCACGTGACGTCAGATGCGTAACTAAAGGATGGGTGATTTTATTACCAAATTCAGAGTAAGACAGTGGTTCTCCAACGAGCGAGTATTAGGTGCATAAACGATGCATGAGGAAACGATGCGCAAGCAAACGATTCAAGAGCGGGTGTATAATGATGCAAGGTCGACTGCTAGGCAAAAACAATCTAGTGGCATTTTTGGATGTTTGAAACACCCTTGCTGAGTGAGCTATGTCAACCAGTTAGGCGAACACTGCAGAGGACAAGGGCTTATGAAGCATGGTCTATTACGAATTATTGGGTTTGCTGAATTTCAGGCAGAGAATTGAAAACAACCCCATTATTGGACAAAGTTTCTTGTCTTCCGCCCTCAACCAGGGAGCGTCATGGGCAGATAGTGATCTATTGCCGTTTTCATTGTAATATACTCGTCCATGGTTGAAATAGGGCTATTCCAATCTGGCACAGAAATTCGTAAACCTAGGAACTTCTGCGAACCTGATAGCTGAACTGAAGAAAGTGATGTGACCACCGCAGTGAACTGCACCAGAAACAAACGATGTCGGTTAACGAATAATTCGTGTTCCTAACTGCAAAGCCGCTTACCCTCGAAACAGCGTTGTTTGCTGTCATTCGAAGATCGATCAACCGATTCACCCCCCCCCATACGTATGTACTTTTCAAATAATTTGACGCATGTCGCTTCCTCTTGGCCTTCTAGGCTTCGGATATCGACAGTTTGGTTTCTTTATTTCCATTTTTTTATCGAAATACCCCAGTAAACCTCTGGGATAATCACACGCGCACACTTTAAGCACTGCGGTCCCGCGAAAAGCATCACCGTTGAACCTTTCAAGAGCTGGTCTGCCTTGTGAACATAATTCAATACATTACAAGGCTTAGTCGTGTGACTCAAACGGCATGCATCCTAACCGCTTAATCGATTGGTTGCTCTCACATACAGTCACGTGTCCGGTGTGCGTGCGCATACTGAAGAACCATAATCAGGAAATAGAGCTCTTTGGAAGTTCCCCCCTCCCCTAATATCATCGCTGTGGGAAATGATGTGCGTTCACTTCGAAAATAAGTTTGAAATCCGTCCTACCTCCCCTGTCACGCACAATGAAGCTTTCTCAATTAAACAAATCTTCATTTTCAACAGCCTTTTGTCCACGCTGATCCCATCGGAAAACAATAGGCCCAAGTGGACACGTATAACACACACAGACTGAGGGAAAGGATTATACGACACAAAAGACCTTTGTTGTTACTACGGTGACCAACGAACGTGGTAGCCATGGCTTATATTAGTTGTCTCTTTTGGAACTGATTAAATTACGTCCATTTCTATTCACAGGACAAGCGATTGCCCGTGTGCCATCCCAGCTCAGTTGGTCATGGGAGCCGTCTGAGTGAGTACGATGATAAAATATCCCTCACAGCAAAGCGCATTCATGAACAACACGTTGGTTGTTGATTCCGCCAGTCTGGTCGATTATTTTACCGCAACCTATGCAGTCGGAATTACCCAGAATAGTTTGCTTGAGTTCTCACCGCTGTCAGTATTTGGAAGATCTAATCGCGAACCATTCTGGATCTTTTCCAGATAAACCCCGCCAATAATGCAAAAAGTGCATGTGCGAAAAGTCAAGCCCCGCCCCACCTTTTGCCAACTTCAATTTAATGTACGCACACAACCTTGACCTACTTTTGATGAAAACAATTCCTTATCCGCATCTAGGTTCATTTTGTGCAAAAATTTTCTCCGTTTGGATGTAAAACCTTAAATGAACTTTCTGACGCTTTCAACTCACGTTCATGACAAGGAGACGGCAATACGTTTTTTGCAACGCCACGGAGTGATCCATCAGCAACGTTTATGCAACAATGCCCACCAAATGACACTTTCAACTGTTTCTGACAGGTGGAGGTGTAATGCCCGACAGTGTCGGCAAGAAATCGGTCTTCGAGAGGGAACTTGGCTGGAGCGGTCTAGGATGGAGTTTAAGACAGTAATTCTATTCATTTATTGGCAAAAATCAGATTTTGCTCAGAGTAATAATCTATTAGCCACAAGACCGCTGTTGACTGGAAGAACTTTCTTCGCACAGTATGCGCCTGGCGGCTTTCGCAGACTCCAACAGTTATCGACACACACCGATCTTTAGTGGACCGCTACTTGTGTGAGTTCATTTGGAGGCAAAGGTACCGAAAAACGGACCTTTTCATGTAAATTATTAATGAAATGTCCCAATTTCACCCTCTTCAATAAAAACTAAAAGTACAAATTCCATATCCTCTTTTTCCAATCTTTTTTGGTTGGCGGGGCTTATCCGGAGAAGATCCACCATTTTTATATCCTGTTTCCGAGACCTCCAAGGATTTCTTCTGAAAAAATTCTTACAATAACTTCAGTTTAAGTAATAATCAAACCAATAAGCTCACACATGCTTTCAGTTGTACCAGCAATCTACTGCTTTCCAACCAGGGTCCATGGTCCACCACATTTTTACACACCGGTTCACTAGGCAGCAGTGAACATGAACACAGGGAGTACGGTCTGTCATCTGTGCTACTACTCAAATGCTATTGCTCAGGGGATTCTTTGGTGAGGGTGCACATGTCTATTTATACATTCACTTCATTTAGTCCTGAGATACCAATGAGTAATTAACTCCTACGTGATTTCCCTATGTTTTGAATAAAACAGTCTCGATACAGACATTATACATGTAAGTTTTCGAGACACGACCGCTGGGTAGATCCTACAACACCCCAACGTTTGAATAGACTGTCCATCAGCCACAGATCTTACGGATTGTACTTTATTCCGGAGTGGGGCTCCAGGGTTGCAACAGTTCATCTGGTCGGTATGTGTCCACATGTAACAATGATGTGTCAGATGAACGCAGGCTACACGAAAGGTTAGCGCTAAAATCTAATACACATACTGCTTGCGCCAAACCTTTGTTCAACACCAGCAACTTCGTGAATATCGCAACAATGGAGGATTCTGGAGTACAGTATGGGGATTCTAAACTCGTCTAAATGCGTGTCAAACGTGACATCTGACGGATATCGTCTCCCCGCGCTACAACAGGAGAGTCTACTAGGGACACTGAATAAATACAAAGCTAAGCTGATTAGCACATCGGCAAATCGTATATCAGAACGGTCATCGTGCCGTTCATCACTTTCTGTCAGGGAAATACAGCACTTCGATGCGTCATTCCCTAGGATTGTCAGTCGTTCTTCAAGTGGAGAGATCTCGAGATCCTCACAACTGAATAGATTTCCACTCTTGATGTCACACTTTATTCGCAAAACTTCCTGTTCTTTTGTACAACGATTGACTATCTTTCCGCACGGTTTTCGAATACTTGTTTACTTAACTAGTCATTAACCAAATTCAGCGCTTGAAAGTTCATCCCTGCAGGAAACCTCCGACTCTGGGTATAGGTCATACTACTCGTGAGGTTGCTGAAAGATATTCGACAGCCCATGATCGTTTCCACCATTCTTATTCGGGCTCATCAGCTGGGCGCAGTCCCCGAGTTTCTGGCCGAACTGATGTTCCGCTTCGCACTTTGCAACTAAGGGTATTTTGCCAAACCATGTCTCCGAATCGGTCAATTTCTTCTAAGGGAGAATACCACAAAGACAATAACACAATCACAAGTCAACAGTCACCCAAAAACTGGATGATATCATTAGCATTGTCCCACTGTGATTTGCTTCAGTCAGAACATCACAATGGGGTTATCAATAACGTATATTGATGGTGATAGTCTGGTTACACAGGGCAACCTTTCTCAAGGAATGACACATACAAAATGAATACCGAAGGAAGAACGTACCAAGGAACTGAATTAATCAATCTGCCTGGACTTCATGCAGCGTAACTGGAAATAGGACAAGTGGATGCGTGAAATTGTGCTTGCTTGCGTGCATGACATAGATTTGGGATAGTGTCGTGCTTGTTTGTTTGCTTAGTCGTATGTATGTGCACGTGTGCTTGGTCAGGAGTCTGTGATCGCCCCCACACTTTCTGCGTGCTAGGTTTGAGGTCAACTCCAGCCTCATCATGGTTGACACAAACGGTTCGCATTGGTTTCAGACGTGGATTGTTGTATTTTGAAATGCATCCACTCTAGTATTGTGGTACCAAAGAAAATTGACTACAGCTAACCAGGTCTAGTTTCTGACCACAAAAACCTATGTAGTTGCGGTGCGACGCGGAAGCGATTCCTAACAGACGAACAGGCCACCTTGTCTGGTCTTTGTGTACCAGTAAACTCCCCGAAATCACGGGCATCCATGACAATATTTTTCTCACCGGCACTACTGGGCCTAGATTTTTCACCACAGTCTAGCTAGGCAAAAAACCAAGGGTAAGTAGCGAAATTTGGTTTTGCGGGAGACTCACCTGGAACCCAGCTGAATCTCTCGTGAATAATGTCTCGAATCAACTCAATGTGCTGCACCAGGCCGCCTCATGTTCCGGGTGGTACGATATTTGAGATAACACAATACGCGTGTCAGTAAGGTAACTGAAAGCATCGGAGAATGCGCCTATCCGATGGACCCCAAGAAGGGCGATGCTGATCGTGGGCTGCCGAAGAATTTTCATTAGCCTTACGAGTAGTGTATTACGTGCAACCAAGGAATAGTGTTAACAAACTTTTTAAAATTGTCAATAGGTTGGACTGCACCTTGACTCCTGGATCCTGCTTGCAAGACAGGCGTCATTCTTTCGCCATGACGGAAATCTAGATATAAGTTGATCGCAAAACTTTACTGTTTCAATGTCTAGTTACTCACAAGTATCCACTGTTTCATGTTGTACATCATTCGCCTTAAACGCGATTGTATTTCGACAGTGATAGGAGTTTTGGAATCATTTTGGAGATTTTGTCGTCTAAGTAAAACTAATCTATGCTGAAAAGCCGAGAAACGTCGCATAGCTGTTTCATTCATCTTGGTAGTCATCAGCAGTCGACACCTCACGAAAGTCAGAGAGACGCGGGTTCAAGACTCCCAGGAGTTTCATGAAGTAGGCACTGCTGACGATTCACAATAAGGATGAAGCGGATGTACAGTGCTGCTCGGTTTTTCAGCATCGATTGGCTTTACTCAAAGGACGAAATCTCCAACATAGTTTTATGCTCACACCCATTTACAGGGTACCGAAATCCGCGAATCAAACGAAGCCTTTAGGCGCGGTTCAAAGAAACGAACTTTAACCAACTCAGCTATCTAGTAACCAGCGTTCTCCCTCTTTCACTGCAGTGATTTACTCATTTTTGCCGCACTCGCATTCTCAACTGGCCGCCCTCGAATGTGACAGGCTGTGGCTTTACCCTACATTTTCTACCTACTGAACAAATAATCAGTAGTAGACTGTAGGCCTTCCAGCCATCAGCCATGTAACAGCTAGGGTGCAGAAGTGCGGCTTCATAGCGAATTTCATTACTTAAAAAAAATTCAGAGCAGTGGGAGAATCCACCTAGCTCCGGTGCATCTTAGTTTTTTAGCACAACTTTAGCATTTATTTTCAGTGTAAATTAGACTTAATATCATCTATTTTTAAACCCAGGACAACACAACTACTTTTGAAAATGCGTCAACCAGTGCAACTAAGCTTCATACTCTTTCGCTTTAGTTTGGTTTCCCACGAAATCATGGTCCCCAAGACTCTAAGCATCTCTTTTTTGTGACAAATTACTTTTAATGATTTACGTTTGTAGTCATGGAGACCCATTTTGTGTAGGCCACCACTGTAGGGAATTGTAGTTCGAAGTATCAAGGATAAACACTGCAGCATCTCATCAAACCCAAACTCATGTAGTTCAGTGAATGAACCAATGGGTACCACCCCCTAAAGCAGATAAATATGTCCGATATCTCCTGATCCAGAATTCGGGTGTTTCCCGTTTCGCTGAGATTAAAAACGCAACAGGATTCCAGTCCTGATAATCGTTATGTATTGTGAGTGTCCGATTTCAGGTTTTCGTCTTATGGGAGAACTTTTTTTACACCTTCCTCTTACAGTATAACGTCATATGCTTGTATTACCGAAATCTTCCAGCCGAGTTTATCTAGACTGCAGTTTCAGCTTTCCCAACGATGGATGGAGAACGATGCTCAATCTAGCCGTTGGAAAAATGTGTAAACTGTACTAGTGAAGAGAATAAGCTTACTCATGACTTCGATCAATAGCAAGGGATTTGGAGTTTTTCAGTAACGACGTAGGACAACATGTGGAAAATATGTGCGCACGAACACCTCAACAGCACGGCTTCCGAAAATTCGGTTCGTGCAGTGTCCATCTTCTTCCCTTCCAACGCCTGTAGCCGACTAGATGTGGTACATCTTGACGTCAGCGAGGCCTTTGGTAAAGTTCCTCATGAGTACCTATTGGACTATGGGCTGAGGGGTGGCGTCATAAATTTCATCCGCTATTCTCTGAATAGCAAAACTTTTTGTGTGCATATAAGCTGTACTCCAGTTGGGTTTATTTCGGGGTTGATGCACAGTCTCACATTGCTCAAGATTTTTGTGCACAACCTCCCACAAAAGTAAACTTTCTCTTTGTAATGTACTACTCATAAGGTTGCTGAAAATCCATCGACAGCAACCTCATGAGTAGTACATTACAAATATATACATGTATCGCGATGTTTCAACTATCGTAGCGACTGAAACATGAGGCGCATGAGGCGGCCTGGCGCAGCACATTCAGTTGCCTGAGAACATCATAAACGAGAGATTCAGCTGGGTTCCAGGTGAGTCTCTCGAAAGAACCAAATTAGTTTGCAGATGAGTGTATATTCGCTAAACTTTCTCTTTATATCGCCCAATCAAAGCTGAGCGGCGGCAGCATCGATGACTCATTACGGAACTAGTTGCATTTTTCGCTATAATTCCAACCGGTCAGACATGACCAGTGTTGTGTGTACACATGGGAAATTCATACTCGCATGGTATGTAACACATCAGGGATCCTGGTTTCCAGTGACCTCCTGTGGGAAAAATCTGGAGGCGTTAGTATCATTAGACATAAAACGGTCACCGATATGGGATGGAGGATTGCACCAAATGCTAGAGCACGCTTACGAGTTATTTCTCTTCCACTGCCCTCCTTGGAGTAAGGATTATGTACCCTTTATTCTCAATCCACATGAAGATCACCCGCAACACCCAAGTCTCCCTAGATTGGAACACATCGTGTCAGCTTACAAATCTCAGTTAGGGGGAGAAATGTGACATTTTTGAGTACCTTTGACGGGGTCATCAAAGATCATAGAAGGAAGTTGTTTTGAAACGATGCGACGCTGCAGACTAAGGTGGTCAACCTATAATAATCCATCCCGAATGCCGAGTCACCTGTCCACCCAGAAGAAGGATTCAAGAAATTGGCGGAAGTGTTAGTTTAACAGAGGGGACTCACAACGGGTGATATCCGCTTCGGCGAGACTTTCGGATATCAGAGAATTTATGTGGAGTAGGTCACACGGGTTTCACTCCCTTTCTCTTCTGTCGCGCAATCACATCAATGAACCTAAAAGCTAAGAAGAGTAGTTTTTCATGGGCTTCTCAGTGTGGTTCATTCGAATTCTTCACTTTCCAGTGCTATATGATGCACAACATTCTTACATCGCACACACAAACACAAAGCTGATCAGCTGATCGTGTGCCCGGTCAGTGATTGATTAGTTAGGCTCAGTCAAATTCTGTGCGTGATTTCAAACTCTCAGCTGCCTGGGGATGGGGCTATTTCTGTAATAATTGATGCAACAGGTACCGACTTAGAAACACTACTCAACCATGAGCTACGAAACGTACAGAGCATTTCTACACATTGTGTGTAAACACTTGGGCATGAGTGATCCAACGGACGCGATAGATGACTTTTTTTCACGCGATCCGAACAACAAAAATCTGATTGCGGATCTACTGAGCGAAACTAGCTTAGCCGGATACGAATCATATGCACAATGTTTTGGAGTTGGATTTTATAAAGTCATTGTTAATGACCGCCGCGTGTTCCGTATACCAGTCAGTTTTGGAACTACAGTACTTCGGAAGCCACAAAATTCGGTACAAACATCAAAAGGGTCCCAAAAGTCACACTCGAATGAGACCAATTATACGGTACTGGGTGTGGTGGATCATGGGGTAACACACCGCGCTTCAGCTCCAACGGACACTGAGCGAGTAAATACGCCAAAAACACTTTCGGTGCGAGAGTCGTTGGTTAGTTCCCATGGTATGACTTTAACCACCGTGAGTTGTGACACGGAAGCTGCGCCCGGCTACTGTCAACAAGTGCACTATATGGTAAGTTGTGTCCTTCTCTGCAGGCTTTATGAATAGGTACAACTAAAGTTGTGGAAACAAGGTGTAGTAAGGTTCAAGTCTGCATCACCGAATCTGGGGTCGATTGGAAACCTCAGTCAAACTTTTATATCTTTGCTTCACAGTGCTTTCACACTAAAATGCCGTTCACTGCTAACAGCCGTATGGGTGTGTGCGCTAGCGCACTGTATTGATGCTCTATCACACACACACACACACCACCTCGTGTGAAGAAACAGGCATTCTCCCTCCCTATGAACATGACAGTCACTGCACGTGTGTTACACGATTCAGTCACTGCTTGCTGCTGCTCCTGAGACCAAAGAAGCTGGATCAGAACTCCATTTCATAAACGGGCCAGTCTGCCTGTTTTAGCTTCCCGGTTAAGTTAAAATGCAGTCATTCTCTATGGACTAATCAAAACGGTAGTAGTGATTCTCCACCGACCCTTGACCTGGTAAAGGAGTATAAAAGAAATTATGAAAAGTCTGGGTGCTGTTGGTCCTTCTCGCTCTCCAGGGTGGGGACCACGTGATCCCCATTTCGTCTGGTTGGAGACGCCGCAATATACAGCGGCTACACGATGTCAGTCGCGTTCTTGTTGTCAGTTTCTATCCAGATTGCCTGAACGAGTGTCTGGGGGTGTAGGCACCTCAGAATGATTGTGATAAGCTAGCACCAAATCGCTTTCCTGTCGAGCCTTATTCTTTTCTTCACAGTGAGGCTTTCCTATAAATGATGGTTGTACGGCAGCAAAGCGTTGGTACTCAATAGTGATGTCATCCTGGCGACGATGATGATTCTCGACGTTCAAAAAGCCCAGTCATCCCAACGCGGGATACTACCGAACTAGTTGGTCAGTGAATGGAATAGGTTTCATCGCTCATAAATGGCATGTTAGGAATGCCATGTCGGCTCCCTAAAAGGTTTCGATTTGGGCAAACAGCAACTGAGTTCTTAGTTCAATGTTTGTGACTTTTCCCCTGACGGTAACGGCAGTGAAGTTCTACTTTCTAAAGCGTTGTTTCGAATTTGTTGTTCTTCCATAAAAGTAAGGATCACCTGTGTAGAAGGTTAAATCAGTAACCTTTTCCTGTCTTCCTGCTCTTTTCACATTCCACAAAGTGACCGGTAACTCAAGGTTTGGGTTGAAAACAGTCTCTGAAACCTCGTGGTGCATGAGAAGCAATGAAATGAATTTGAGACGTACTACTAACTGCTTATTCAGTCCTTAATGCACTCCAGACTTCCAACTTGACAATCACTAGGTGTTTCTAACACAGTGCTTGAGTCTTCAAGGAAATGCCGTTGAGTCTTTTTTCGGGTAAGTTCATATGGGCAAATCACGTGACGATGTCTGCATATCCATCGTCCTGGGATGGTATCGTTAAGAAGCAAATGAACACAAAGAGTGGGACATGAAATAGCTCCATCTTGTCTTTGCAAGGTTCTGGAGCTTCCACGTTAAGCTGACATGAAGGAAGAAGCTAGTCTAAAGCAGAATGGATCAGTAGTTGTTGGATGAGGTCGTGAACCGGCCGGAGGGAGGCCATGTTTTATTGAGGACTTCAGAAACTCCAAGGTGCAAAAACGATGATCAGTCAGAGTGTGGTTTACTCACAGCTTTCTCCTGCTCTAGATCAAAAGGTCAATACACTTGGTTGCTGGTTGGTTTGTTCACTGAACTTGGCGGTTGGATTGCAGTGGTTTCATTACCAATCAAGATGACATTATCAGTCAGGGTTTGAGTGGGTCGCAATCGCTCGAGCTACCTGAATCTGATCCCCTCTGTAAGTTGGCATCTCCTCAATACTACTTACTGAAAAGTCATTTTTATCATCACTTGTGATGTGATAACGCATGGTGATAAAGAATTCAGTTTGAGATAAGATTGCTTGTTATGGCTAGCTGCTTTTTGAGCCTGAGTGACGTGTGCCAATTCACAAAAAAGGACCAAGAAATCCGATTTCTGGTATCACGTCACTATTGCAATCAGAATACTGCACATATCCAACAAACCTAAACAGGTTCTCCTCTGCAGACACCAGCCTGAGGATAAAATAGCAGTTCACCTCACCGCAAAACCGATAGCGTCGACGGGAAGTAACCGCAAAACACAATGTGTGACGAAACTCCGTGAAAGCCATGAAAATAATTCATTAAAACAAGAGGGTTTCTAAAAGGAAACTTCTTACAAGTTTGCAGAAAACTCTTCGACAGCCCAAGACCGGTTTCGCCCTTCTCGGGGCTCATCAGGTAGGTGCAGCCCCCGAGTTTCCGTCAGCCTTATGTTCTACTTGAGCCCAACTTGGACTGTTTTCGGGAAATACACTCATTTGCAAATCAATTTGGTTTTCACGAGAGACTCAACTGAATCTCTCATTTATGGTACTCTACAACTGAATGTGCTGCATACAGGCCGCCTCATGTTTCAGTTGGCACGATATTCATTGAGATAAATTAACTTTGGGCAGCCACTGACATAACCTGCTTTATTCTAGTTCACGGCAACTCGTGGCAGTTTGCGCTAAATGTTAATTGACTTTAATTTAAAAGGATGAGCTGTCTTCTACAATGCTTTTGAAATTGTCCCATATTTGTGCGTCCTCCGAATTCAGCAGGTGGACGCGTCAACGTTAGGTCATATTCGATTAAGTCATCCTTCTGTAAGTTGAAAATATGATCACTCTGTGCGAACTAGATATCAAGCTGAGCCCAGCTGAATTACCTCGGTTGTGGAGGCAGGCATGCTCGCATTCTCAGTGGTCTGAGGAATTTGCACGAACGAGCTGCTATCCTGGTGTGGTCGAAACTGAATACTCGTGTCAGGAGGGAACGAGGACTTCAGACGACAATGAATCGGATAAACATTTCACATATCCCGCAACTAATCACGAAAAACTGAAATAGACCTAGCCACTTGCCAAAAGCAAAGCATGGGCAAGTAATGAAAACTGAGTTAACTTTCTCAAAATAGAAGCGTGATTTCGGCAACTCGCTGTCCAGACCATGAAAAATTTGTGCTATTTATCTTCTGGTACTTCTTCTGTCCTTCCAGGAACATATGAACCAACAGTTTTCCCACCTTTTCCCAATAGGTTGTTTCAAGAATGTATCCGAGGGAGTGTTTGTTCGCCATTCCACTCAATTTGCTATGTACAAGCGACGAGTTGGATGAGAACAGAGCCTACTTCTATGCCATTCGATCAAATACTGGTACAAGCGCACCGAGAATCAAATACCAGAACGACCCTATGCAGCTTTTTCCAGTGAACATTTCGGTTGGCTATCTACGAGGCTCTTTGCTGGAATGCGCCCACCGTTTGTTCTCCATGGTAAGCCGTATGGCGTCAATAGGATTTCAGCCTCTATACCGTACAGAATCATAGAATGACCTTGACTATACGCCATGCAACACCCGATGGTATGATAGTACTGTGCGTATGAAGTGAAAATCACGTCTTACTTTTGAAGCCAGAATGAGTTTATGAGTGGCTTGATCTGTGTTACCCTAATGCTTTCCATACTGTGATTCGGAACTTGCACTCTGGCTCTACAAATGTAGATAAAAACCAGTCAGGATTTGACACTGAGACCATTGCAAAAACCAGGCATGATGTGAGTTGGCCTTTTTCTGGTGAGTAGTTTGAAAATCCCTGAGTGACACAAGTCTATTGGAAGATTTAGCCTTCTTAAATCTCTTGTTCTACAAACGCTGGAAAGGTTTTATTGACAGAACACACTGCTCTTGAGGTTGCTGAAACGTCTTCCGTAATATACATTTATCTGGAAAGTCCATCATTGTTAACGAGGGGTATAATATTCATGGGAATCTTCTGCACAAAAGCCACCTTGTGTTTCACCTCACATGATGAGTTGCAAATGAGTGTATTTCAACGAGTTAACAGGATCGCTTGTTCAGTTAAAACATAGAGTTGATAAAAGTGCCTACTTGGTGAGTCCCAAGAAAGGTGAGACCGATAGTGTATTGTTGAAGGGTTTACCACCTAATAAGTAGTGTGCTATGTGGAAAAACGCTTCAGTACCTCGAGTATCGTGTTAACTGAAATGTGAGATTAAGTTGAGACTCTAGTTATTACTTTACGAACGAGCACATATCACCGACCGGTTCCATTGTCACCCATCGTCCTAGTGGTAACCGAATTATCGCTGTGCTTTCTTCCAGGTGTTTATGCGTCTGCTGGCCTACTTCAATCAAAGGAAGGATCTGTTTACTAGACCAGACGGTGAGGCAAGCGGGAAAGCTGCAATGATAGGGAAGGTTAGCTGGGCTGGTGGAGGAGGTGCTCAAGCGAGTCCGCAACAGAATGCGCCCGGTCACATGACAAAGGATGAGAGTGGGCAGAGCACCGATGATTCGAACACACATCGCTCCAAAGCAGCACACCCAGGGCGTTCTGCTGTCTTCAGTGGAGGCAGTACAGAAGAATCACAGCGCTTGCGAGATGAATTCAGTGTGACCTTATTCAAATTTGGGTCAGTGCTCGAAGAAACCATTCTCGCACTTCAAGGGGTATTCAATCTGAAGGAACCCGATTTCCAACCGGATGAGGATTATGTGATTGACCCATCACGGGATTACCTGATGTTGCCACACGTGACCAAGTTACTCAAGGTCTGGGGTGAGTGGTTGGTTAAATCCGTCATTTCAAATTTACCTTGAACAACACTCGGAGATGTGCGCACCTGTTATCAGAAAATTTCCTGATCAGTAATATTTGTGAGTAATCACTCACAACAGCTTCACTCATTACGATTTTTGTAAGCAATTAGAGGAACTGCAGATCATCATGCCTTATGTGCATTACGGAAAGTATGTGTGCTGTCGATACCACTCGATCTCCAGGATGGGAACTGCGTGTTCCCCATTTCGTCCGGTTGGAAACCGTGCAATATACAGTGGCTATTCGATGTCAGTCGCGTTCTTGTTGTCAGCTTCTATCCGGATTGCCTGAACGAGTGTCTGGAGGTGTAGGCACCTCGGAATGATTGTGATAAGCTAGCACCAAATCGCTTTCCTGTCCAGCCTTATTCTTTTCTTCACAGTGAGGCTTTCAAATAAATGATGGTTGTACGGCGGCGAAGCACTGGTGTTCAACAATGATGTCATGATGATGATGATGATGATGATGATGATGATGATGATAATGGGTAACTTAGTACTACCACAACAATAGTCGTAACACTAAAACACCCAAACTGTTCCCGAGAGAGTGATATTTCGATCAATAAACAAATTATTTCTGCCTGAAGTTGGGTACTTCAACTGCACGTAATTCAGGTCTTATTTCAACATCTTGCCTATCCTGTGAAGTGGTACCGTCGCTATACCATGCTATTCCTCACCGGGGTGTGCGGACAGGCCACGAAAGCTACCAAACGAGCGTGAAGTTGATTGATCGGTTCGGAAGACGATGACTGTGGCCACGGTCTGGCCTTTGTACATTTAGCCTCGTACCACGTTCCCCATTGAGGGATGACCGACCAATAGGATGGTCCGTTGTGTGTGTGTGTGTGTGTGGCCTACCGAAGGCCTACAGGCCTACAATAACGCGCTTGAGAGACAAGGCGTGGCGCCTGTATCTGAGTTGAAGTTGTCCAGTATCGCACACCCTGGGCTAGATGGCCTCGATGGTTCAGAGAACAGGCTGACAGGCCTGTACCTGCGAGGGAATCTGACAAAGCACAATCATCTAGGCAAACTCAAGGGCTGAAAGCGATCAGGTCGGAGGCCACTCCGATACTCGATGTGAAAGCTTCTGATGTGCTCTGTTTTGAGGAGGGTATACGTTTGGCTCACTCAAACGGTGCATCGATCACGGCATTCTATACATTGTAAGATTGTTTCTAGTGATGCTTTGCAACTGTCGGCAGATGGACTGATGACTACATTATGCAAACGGCAGTGATATTAGTTGCAAGCAGTTATGAACAATTTGTTGACGCTTGGACACATGGTCTCACTTGGGTCCTTGAGGAACTTTCTGCAATTCTCTGTCTGTATGTTCATAGTTCTTCGAAGTTTGCCGCTCAGCGTCCAGAGTATTTATGTCTGTCTTCGGCACCTCAAAACAGCTCTCACATAAGTGGCGATTGTTTAGTTTCCCACGGTTTCATTGCGATGAGCTTGATCAAGTCAGAATGCCCACATAGAATAGCGCAAGTTAGAGATATTTCCATTCCCGGCACTTTTTGATAGCATAGGTGTTATACCTGCTGATTCATCAATCTGTGGTATCTGCTGCTGACCCGCTCCAGTGCCTAGTGTCGGAGAGAAAAGACTCACAGAAGAGAACACCACAGCTGTATTCCGAACAAGCGAGTGAGTGAGAGAGCAAAAGTTACAACGGCCCCACGCTATTTAAAGGGGACTTTCTGACATTGATCCAGGCTGTCTGATAGGCGTTAGTGATCACCCATCAACATCGATCGTGCCTCTGTGAAAAATCTGAACGCTGATCACATTCGGTCGTGCTTCTGTGGCGTGCAAGAACACTCATCAGGTTTTGCTGAATTGATTGAATGATTGATTGGCCTGGATGCTTGCCGGCTTTCCAGTTGAGTTTTTGGTGGAGCAGTAGGTTCCGGGCGTTCTGAAGTTGCTTTCAGGAATCTGAACTTCCTGATAATAGGTAACTGATAATGATGATGTCTTGCTCTCAACAGTTCGCACGGCCGGTAAGCTCAAAAAAGCTGGCTTTGTGCTTAGGTGACTGAATTTGAATCTGATAATTTTTTGGTAGTTTTACTAGCTTGCAAAAGTATACACATACAGGGCCCAGCAGTCCACGTGCTTCAAACCGATTTGCTGTGTTTAAGAGGTGTGCTTAGGTTGGTCAATTTGATAGGATAAGAAAACCGGTTTACTTTACCGGAAATCTGGTGTTACTGACTGTATACCAAGTATTTTTCCACGGTTCCGTAACTCCAGAGCACCTACTTCATGCCACTTTGTTCTCCCAACAGTCATTTGCTTTGAATAATTGGCTTGCTTTTTTCTACTCATCTTAAAACGTCCAACTTTTTCTGTCATTTCAGTTCAGCCAGACTGTATGTTCGCAGACAGCGTGGATGTCCGATAGTTGAACAGTGGGAAGGTATTTTAAGAACGTACTAAATGTTGTATTTGACTAGCAGGAATCCAAAAGAAAAACAACTTCTGACCAACTATGAAAGGAAACATTCCAATCCCGTTTTTTATTGTCAACGCTATCATGAGTTTCTTCTCGAGAAAAAAAGCTCATGAGACGCTATCTGTAATGCTGATCGGAATGCCCAAATATTGTCGCCAAACACACCAACGTTTTTTACTTGAAAAGTGTCATCCTCCAGCTAAGTGATTTTTACTAGACTTTTTAGTATCTTACTGAATAAAGTACTTCGTTGTGCCTGCGTGGTCACACCTGTGGTCTGCTTGAATTTATTCATACGTGACGGACAAAATTTAGAGTACCTGAAAAGTTTTCTCATTGTGTATCTCAGTTTTCTTTTAATTTCCGTAAGAATTTTCACGAGTGGTCGTTTCGTTTTAAGGAGTCACCTATTTTCTAAGATCGTTGGGTTTTTGAGAACTCCCACCGTAACCGTAATGTCACAATGGATGCATTCGGAGACTTCTTCGTGTCACATATCGAGTTGTAAAATCACGTGACAGTCTGCTCGATGATCTCACACCGCACTGCAAGCAAAAACTGATCAAAAAGTATACTTTTTTATACGTTCCTCAGATCAACAGATCGATTCCGTGATGGAACGGTTGAACCCTTATCGGACGACAGATTGTGGGCCACTTGATGAAGTCGACTACTGGAGACATCGATGTAAAGTACTCACAGCAATTGCAGAGGCGTTGCGAAGTAAAAAATCTCAGTGGGTTATCAACGCCTGGGCAGTACTCAATCCAGAGGCGCCACCTTACAACCGAGGGGCTGAGATCAAAGCACAAATGCTTGAGGCCAAAGACAATGCCAGGTAAGCTCAAATATCCGAGTTTGCACCCTCACGTAACTCCGGAGAGTAGCCGACGTAAACTACCGGATAAGCAATCATACAACAACATAGACATTCCTAAACCGAGTTTTTCATCTAAATGAATACAATTTTCTGACGCAGAAAACGCTTGTTATTTCATTTCGAATTTCGACAAAACCTCTCCTTTCCAGCGGCCAAGTTATCTCTTTGTTCTGTAAAGTAGCTTTTTGCCAGACATAGTTATCTGTTCCGTCTCTTGTGGAGATGAAATGGTTTATTGCTGGTATTTTATTTGTACTGAATATATTTACGAAGATCAGTCCCAAAAACCTCGGTTTTTCCTTATCTCCTCAATAAAAACTTAGTATTACACCATATTGCAGTTGTAAACTCCGAACAACAACATATAGATGGGCCGTCTGGAGCTCCTGATTTCACATGCAGTCTGAATCAGACCTGTTCCAGCCATAATCACAATACAAAGGTGTAGTAATTGAGTCCTAGAAACAATAATTCAATCACAGTAGTCATACTGATCAGGCCACCGTTGTGCATATCACAGAACGGTCGCCCCACAGAATCTTCCTAACCCGATGAGTTACCGAACGGAATCCATCCACTCGTGAATCGCGTGTGCTTGACTAGAAACAGTCCTCTCCTTCATTGAGGACCCCAGGTAAATTGCATGAAACACAGGTAGATGTTAGCAGGCCAGCTATCTCAATTTCTACTGGTCCATTTTCGCTGCACGCGTACTCTGTCCCGTGGTTGGGAAAGCATAACAGCCCTTTAAAGTGACGCGTCTATATGACCATATCTATGATTTTAAGTACGGAGCCAGGGGAATATGGGGTGTATTTGCCCTCATTCAAACGGCCGTCGTCAGTGACCAGCGTATTGATTCGAGCTTTAGTCTTCAACGTGTGTTTGTCCATTCACTTTAGCACACTGTAAAGTCTTAAGTAAGTGCAAGGAGGCTGCATGTGATATGCCGTGGTATATTGGGCATTGGCTGATAAACTGACTGATTCGCCCGGACCAAAATCCATTATCTTTGAATTAACCACATTATATATATATATATATATATATANATATATATGATAAATGTAGCACCCTCCCCTAGCCACGGGTCCGCTGGACATTCTTAGCCTGGTGAAATGTTCAAATTTGAAGGGTTCCAAGTTAACTTGATCAAATTCTTCTGCTTGAAGGTTCTTACTGCTCGTGGAAAGGCACTTCAAGAATGTTCAGTTCGGTTCAACGTTTGAAGTAGTTACGGACACCATCCCGGCTATGGTACAATCTCTACGTTTGATTTGGACAATATCACGCGGTTACAACAAAGACGAACGCATGGGACCCCTGCTACGGCGCATTGCTTGGGCATTGTGTGATCGAGTTATTTGTGTGCTGGAAGTTAGCCATTTGTTCAGGTGAGTAGTTGGCTAAACACAAATGTCAAAGCTGGGCAACTCCTCAGCAGTTTGACATCATTCAAACGAATGTGGTCAGAGCCCCTTTTATTGGTCGCTCTAACCGAAAAGAAACAATCTGAACCGCCTTATGCATTAACGATTCTTCTTCTGGAACGGTGTACACAACTTAGGGTTCCAGTGTAACAGACCGAACCTATCAAAGATCTTCCTTCTAACCTCTCGGTTAACGACAGGCAGATACTCCACTAAGAAACCGGAAATAAAAAGCCAGTTTTCGGGGATTTAAAAATTAATATTAAGTATTCATTTCAGAACTGCAACTCCTGCTTCTAAAATATTTAATGATTTAACGTGTTGGCCTTTGGCTCCTCACACGAGACGGGATGTGCTATCTTGCACATCCGACAACATCTGAGTTTGAATATTGAAGTTCAAGCCATCCCCCTTCGTTTAACTCACTCGGAGAGAGGTGACATGAACTGATGACGTAAAATACGCAAAATTTCACGGGTATCGGTGAGATCATGTCACTTGCGGGACTCAGCTGGATATGAGTTGCATACTTGAATAAAAGATAGGTGAGACCGAGAAATTCACAGTATCGAATCTCCAGCACCAGCTTATCCTCTGATGGACCTCAACTGCAGTAAAGTGGTAATTTCACACTGAGTTTGGCTGTCACTGACCGATATCGTTCCTCAAAATTCATCTTAATGACGGTCTCTTCAGCCGATCTGTCTTACGATATCTAATCGCTACAACAAAGTTAACGAACGCCTCATGCGTCATTATACCGGTCAAATTTGGCCACTATTTTGTTCATGCGAATGTCTCCAAGTGCGTTTTATGTACAGAAGCTTGGGTCGGAACGCTGACGCCAAAACCTAATTAGTTTGCCAAGCCACCTTCAACAGCTAGACCAAAATACCCTTGCTGCATTGTTGCATTACCGCTGAAGTCCAAGGAACTGAGTTTTTTTTAATGCAAAACAGCTAACCAATTCAAGTTGTCCCTTTTTTCATGAAGAGCATCAATGAATACTAGCGCAATACACTCATTTGCAAAAAAATTTGGCTTGCGAGAGACTCACCCGGAACCAAGCTGAATCTCTCGTTTGTGGTGTTTCCAGGCAAGTGAGTGTGCTGCACCAGGCCGCCTCATGTTTCAGTCGCTACGATATTCGAGATATCGCGATACATGTGTATACGTAATGCACAGTCAACTTTGTTTGCAAATGAGTGTTTTTGATAATTTCGTGCAATTTGGCTTCAAGCAGAACAAAAGGTTGACGGAAACTCCGGGACTGCCTATCTGATGAACCCCAAGAAGGGCGAAACCGGTCGTGGGTCGTCGAAGAATTTTCAGCCACCTTATGAGTAGTGCATTACGAATATCAATGAATACCTTTTCAACAGTGAATTTCGTCTTCTTCCTACGTTGTGGACTCATTCTCAACTAACTGCTGTAAACGGTTGTTGTTCAAAAAAGTAAAATCAGTGGCGCATGTCTCCATTGCAGCAAGTTTTCGCCTGACAGTGTCTACCTGCTCAAGCATTTTAAGTCGATAATAATCTTTCAGGGCTCAAAACATCCATTTCTCATTGGGCAACACCTCCAGGGGAATGATGTGCAGAACGCAGCGTTCAGATGGACGGATCTTATTTTTTCGCCCTACCCGATAGTGCTTAGGTTCGTGCGAAACCCGGCACACCTGTCATGCATGGACATTACTCATGTTTCATATATCTCATTGTCAGACCGCTAAAACAGTTCTGTTGCTTCGCTTTCCTGTAGTCAATCGATTCGTAACATCCTTCGTGAGGTACGAGCTGCCATTCGAATGTTGACAACATTTGAAAACACGTATTTGCTCGAGCGTCAGCGCGTCGAGGCCACTTCTCAAGACAATCGTTGGGAGTTTGACCGGAAATCGTTATTTGGCGATATACATTACATGAAGAGGATTCTTACAGACATCTACGACATGGCCAAGGTTGGTGAATCCTATTGGTTCAGACCAACGGTCTTCCAATAACTTATTAACATTTGCTCAAAAACACACCAAGACTAAGCTTTCTGACGCAACTTATTGGGGCACAAACTCTCTACACTGATAGACTACACCTGCCAGCTATTTACGGTCAGCCTACCGGCATATTCTGCAGACAATGTTACAACACGTCGGATGGTATACACTCACCAAGATAAGTATAGCATCGGGAAGATGATTGCCTCATAGACACTGTCTGACTTTCTGAGCTTGACACACTAACCCATAGCCGCAGATGTGAGCAGTGTTTCATCCAAAAACTCATAAATGTCACGTTCATACACGTGGTTCAGGCGTCATTTGTCTAATGCACATCATCTGTATACAGCTGTCCATCTTTGTAGAAGAGACCGTCTTAACCCTATCGTTGTGGTGGTCATGCATAAAGTCATCCACTATAGCGAGAGAAACGACATATTATTCGGTGGATGATGGTAGCCTACAGGTGAAAGGAAGGAGGCCTTTGCCGCGGAATTACTTATTGGATAATGCCAACTGACCAGTTACGGACTATTGGACAGGGAAGCAAAACCCTCATTTGCATCTTATTTACAAAAACTGGACATCCATCTTCTCCTGAACGCGTCTTCTTGAACTTTCCTGGATATTCATTAACTCCAATCATTGGTTGCTCAAATCCAAGCAAGTGCTACAGAGCGATTCCACTAATTCCGCAACAGACCTCCCTTTTCAATAGACGCCAAGTGAATTTACAAGAACAAAACATACTACTCGCATGCCTCACCATCAGTAGTATCATCGTTACACCGGTAGCATGGCATAGAAGTTTGAACGCAAAACGAAAGCCGCAAAGTACAGTATGGTAGTGGAAAATACTCAGCTTTCCAAAGAGACGGACCTGTCTTGGATGGTAAACAACATAGAACAGCGACCAATGAAACTGTGATTTTACTGATAGGCGATGTAACAAAAGCGAACTTGTACAAACTAGCATACGAATTTGTTATGTCGAAGGGTCCTATGCATCGAACTTTGAAAAACAAAGAACACATGCCATTTAAAGAATGGCTTTTCAGCATCTGAGGCCTGACAATACCATATTGACTGAAACGTTAAGCACCGCATTCATCAACAAGTGTGGAATTTGGTGTTTGGTTAGACCTTTGAAGTCATGAAAAATAAGAACTGCATATTTGCGGGAAATTCGTCCTGGTGCGCTTCGCCATGGGGAGGACGTTTTTGAGCTTAATAACTGCCTTGACAGTCGGAAATCATGTCAGTATGCTTGTTCTAGGCATCTGGAGAGGTCAGGCATTTCTGACTACATAAAAATCCAATACAATCAGGTTCTTAAGTTGTCCACGATTCCGGTTCCATCTGAGCATTCAAGACCTGTTGCCGCAGAGGAAGGCATTGTGTTTGCCTGACGGAATAAGCAACTCCACTTAATCGAACCATTTGGAAACAACTGTTGTGTTGGTGAAAAGACGATTGCTCAATCTTGAGTCACACCAGCGTCTGGCCGTTCCCAGACTCCACAAGAAGTATAGCTATTCGTTTTTGTCTCCGAAATTCCAATCCACACCAAAGAACTAGCGTTCCTGTAAACAGTTTATGCAGAGGAATTCGAGTTCATTACATTGTGATACCCAGATGGTTCGGATGAGGGCAAGTCTCTCATTTTACATTAGTCTGGTCGTCTTTAACGCCATAAGGCATTTCTTCTTTGAATAACATGTCATAGCACTCCTCTTGTCGAAAAGACAATCTCCAGACTTTAAAATATATATTTTATCTCTGGTGAAATCAGGCTGTACGAGGTTACCCAGAAGCGATGTGCAACTTTTCATCTTTGATTGTCATCCATAAGCGTCTCTTCATTCAGGAGATAGTCGCAGTGGAATGACGTAGTAAAGTTTGCTTTACAGCATGATTAAGGTGTGATTAAGATCACACACAATCACCGCTCAAAAGACAAGTGTGAAGCATGCCCACTAACTGCCATCTTTTCTAACCGAAGTGGCATATATTCTATGGGTATGACGTTCAGACTGGTCACTCATGGTGCATGGTACGAAATGATTTTCAACCGTACGAATGCGGTTGGTCAGACAGTGCATATAAGCAGTATACAGAGTTGATGGTGAGTAAATAGTGACGAAATATCGACATCTGTAACTAGAAGTAGGCGAGGCTCAAACAGGGAGCAAAGGTGTTGGGAAACCGGTGGTAGGGAAGTAGAGGGGCGTTGTTAAATACAGTCACGCTACTCATGAGTAGTCAAACAAATGGGAAAACAACTGCGGATTGCCGCTGATTCACAGGAATCAACAAGTCAAAAAGGCTTCAGTTCAACGTTAAACTATCCAATATTTGTCGGTGCGACCAATGAGATTCTAGCCACAACAGTAATCAGTGAGGTGTTTTCCGCAAAAAAGCGACTACATACGGGGAACTGCGACATATGCACACCGCTGTATTTCAAGACAAGGTTTCTGTGGAAAATCATAGATCCGGGTCAGGTCAAGCCAAGCTCTACGACATAAAAGAATGTGCGACTTTTCAAAGTGCAACCTGTGGCTGAGTTCATTGCATTCAGGCTAAAGAGACCCAATCGCGACTGGCCAAGCAACGGAAGGCAAGCAACCGTACATTATTGAACTCTCGACAAAAACCAGCCGCAGTGAGCAAACAGGGAGCCGCATCACGAGCACTCGAGCAGAAACATCTAATAATCTAAACGTCCTCCAATTGCTCAATTCCGTTCTATGCCTCTGCACATGCATCTGTGGTGCTACGGCAAAGAACTTGGCGTTTTTCCCAAAAAAATTCATTTCAGTCCTTGCGCGTTCGGTCCGAAGTGTCGACAGCTGAGTCCATTGCAATTGCAGTTCCTAGCCGTAAAATTCAAGGTAGTCAATCCGACCACCACTATTACTTCAGCATTAGTAAGGACAGATAATAATTATCCTGTCACTCTTTGTCTCCAGCTGACCGCCCGTGCCATGACATCCTGTTTGACCTTTTTGATGCGTTTAACAGTTGATGTTTCGCCGTGACTTTAGTTCAAACTAGTCGAATGATCATGCCGTTTTCGACTGAGCTTCCACAACTACCTTGAGTACGTATTTGGTTTGAAGCGGGTTCCCCGAAAAAGGGTTTCTTCCTCTTCTCTTTTTTCTTTGGTTCACTGGACATATTTCGTAAGGTTTGTCCATTTGCTTGCTGAGTGCCATCCTGCGGACGTGTGTGTGTGCGTGTGTGAATCCGTCTCATCATCATTCATCATCGTCAGCCTTACTAACCGCGTACCCGTCGTACAGTGGTTGTAGCTGCCGCAGTTTGATTCAATCGCACTTCGATTTTGACCATATCTCAATGTACAGTTTTCAACACACACTCTTTTCTGTACCGACAGTGTGCCAACGAATTTTATCACATGTTTGGGCCAGAACTGAAAAATATCACCGGAGACAACAAAACTTTGAGCGAAATCCTCCGACTGGTCGATCAGCTTTTTACAGCCATGAAGAGCCAGGTAAGACAGTTGCATCTAAGTTTGAGACCATCCAATCAAATTCCAATGAGGGCCTTTGAACACCCAGACCAACAATAGAACGGGACCAATAGGTCTTAACGCTAAAAAGGCATAGCTTTCGCATCAAGTGTTTTTGAGAATATAGCACTCATAGCACTCTCATAGCACTCTTCTAACAACTCACTTTCAAAACATGTAAACATCAAAACTCACAAATAGGAGGACTTCTTCATTCCCCCAAGCATTCATTGCCTTTTAGGAATTGCCCTGTCCATTCCTGCAAAAAAACGAAAAGGCTTGGCTCAAGGTCAAGGCAGAGTTTGAAGATAACGCGTCCATGATTGATGCCAAGGCGAAGAACTTCATCAATGACTACTTTGCTCATATTCGTGGGCCCACATCGGCTTTTGATCTACTTGAAAAGTTCAAATCGGTGAAAGCAAGAGCAGCGATCACGTGTTTGCTCAAAGATAAGTACCGAGATGTGCTGCGAAGCTTTGGAAATGAAGTAAGTTATTCGCATATGTGGTGGCCAATTAGCACTTTCAATTTGTACATACTTAAGATCGGAATAGAACAGTTGTAGTGTAGATTTACAAAAAGGACACAATGTTTTCTAAAATAGTATGACCTTAGATCTAAAGTAACGTGAAAGTAGTTTCTTGCTGATCCAGTGGTCTTCAGCTACTGGGTAATACTCGTCTTCTGTCTGTGGTATGTAGCTTGGGAAGACTGATCAGAACTCATGGACAGTCCAATGCCGGATCTAACTTGGGTTCATCGAGTGAGCATAGTCAGGACTTTAAAAATATTTTGTGTTTAAGGTAATTTACTTAACCGTTTCTCAGATAGACTACTGAGCCAACCTGTTGAACGCCAACAATGAGTAAATCTGGTCACTATTCTTAGGTTACTAGAAACGATAAACCAAGCAATAAATCGACTAGAGCTTCGACAGGATCTCAGACCTGCGCGACTTGCTCAGGATAGATAACTCGATGAGTGATTCGGAGGAGTCGTCTATGCCTTCAGCTCGCACATTAGGCACCTGTAACCTTTTTACCAGAAATAAAACTATTACTTCACTTTCGAGGTAAGAAATAATTGTTACTGGGTCATCATATTACCATTCGACTCACAGCTCGTCAAAGTCGAGTCGAAATTCAAGGAATCACGTGACGCACCTGCAGTCGCCCACTACCTACCTCCAACCGCAGGCTCCATATCATGGTCTCGGCTCATTCTCCTCACTGTGAAGGCAAGCATACTCCGTTTTATTCAGTCGCAACCAGATATTCTTGAAGAAGACGAAGGAAAAGCTGTAAGTTCTTCATATTCGTCTGCTCTTCTGATTGGTGCTAATTTGTCTTTGAGCATTCTGCACTACCGGAACCAATTAGGAAATCAGTGTTTCCAGCTACAAACTCACCGATTGTTTACCTAACCTTTCTGAAAATCTTCAGCATATTAGCTATGTAGTTGTGACAAACTGCTTGTCGACACCCGTATCAGTTTGGTTTCTCTCAGGCACGTAGTTAGTTGTGAGCTGTGTTATCCAGTGGTCAAATATATCTATTCTTGTCAAAAGGATAAACTCTACTCCAGCAGTTTACTCAATTTCAAAGAGTAAATCGTGAGCCTTTGACTTTGTTGAGTACAACAATCACTGAGGAATTTCACTAAACGCACTACAAACGTGAACAGTTTGTGATTTTGTGTCCGTCTTTCTTGTTATCTAACGGGTGCCCGAAGGTGACCGTCAATGGATGACCTTATGTAATAGATAATGTGTTTTGTTCAGACACCTTTCTAAGGTAACCTCAGCTTTGCCCAGAGCACAACTTGGCCTGGTCTATAAACATGTCCTCTACCAAAACAAGCTTTGAACCGTTGCGTCCGACCCTTTTCCAACCCCATTTTACAGGTGAAAGCTCGCTACATCAGCCTAGCTGAGGAGCTACGCAAATATGAAAGAGCACGCCATCGCTCTTGGGAAGCTGAAGTAAACGCAACCGTCAGTCTGCGCCTCAGTCAGCCCATCCTCTTTAAACACACGAACCAAATCCCCTATGACCAGGTATGGGTGGTTCACGATTACTCCAGCTACGTCTTCTTTGAATACTACGGTTAAACTCCTCTTCAGTCTATCCCTCTAGCGTCTGCTACTGATCACCCGTCAAGTATTTGTTTATCCCCTCCATCATTTTTTGTATCAGCCTTATATTAATCGGCTAGAGTAATGTTCGTCTAAAGTTAAATAGTGACCGAAAACTCCTGTAAACAAGCCAACTGAAAAGGACCAAGTTTCAGGGCTCAAACTGATCGTAAAGCACGTGGACTAGTGAGTATACATCAGTCAACCAAAGAGCGCACAACGCATTCATCATGAGCCTAACGGATTTTCATCGCCAGTACATGGTTCGGTAGATCTAACCTTATCACGCGCAGTCTAAAAGGCAATCGTTCAAATCCAGCCAATGGAAGTTAGGCCAACATGTCGAACCACCCTTTAGGATGATCAACACGCCCACTCCTGCAGCCTGTGAAGACTGCAAGTCGTGGGAAAGGTGACGCCAAAAGTCGAGGGCCCGTCGCTGAGTGGTTGAGTTGAGGTCTGACATTGACAAGATGAGTCCGTTACCCGTGTGCGCGATAGTGTCTAGCACCAGAAGTATTTCAGACCACAGTCAGATCATATCGACGGAGCTGTTTCGTGCAGCTCATTAGAAAAGACGATGGGGACGAAATCTAGCGTATACTTTAGAGTACAGCTCGGCGTTTGGTTATAGGAGAGGAAACTAGATACGGTCAGCGCCAGAACAATCACGTGACTTTTGGTTAAAATCGGTAATTGAGCGAGTGTTTCCAAAGTCATTGAATGTGTCTATGGAGAATTTCACGACTTCTCTCTTTGAACTGACAAAATCTTGTATGCGTATGCCCTACCGTCTCACCTTGACGTTGCTTTGTGAAGCAACACAACCTGCGACGCCCTACCGTAGTCAATTTGACAGACCTACAAGTAACCATATTCCTGCGGCGAAATAAACAATGTCAACTGAATCATGTGTCATACGCAGATCTTCATAGGGGAAGCCATTGAACAACACAATGTATCAGATTAATCTAACAACAAGCATATCTGTGAAGTTTCGTCAAAGATGCCCAAAAAGGTTGGAACCAGAAGCTCTCGATACACCAGTCCAACAACATCACCACTTCGTACGATCACAAGACGGCTGATGGGATAGTCCCGACGAAATTTGTTTTGTTTCACTGAAATTCATTATGATCACTTCGATCCACTTAGTAAGTGTTCAGGTCAAGTCATGTGCTAAAAGTTTCAGCTTGTTTTACCATTGTATTGGTATGACTCTACCTGTTGAAGAACTGTCATTTCTAGGACCCAGTATAACCATTGGACATCTGTTTTCGGACAACATTCATTGTCATAACGAAGCCTGAATGGCATGCGTAAAAACTGAAATAACCCAAAAGGTGTAGTGATGGCGTTTTTGTGAATATAGTCGGGATGTATAGGAATATGATGATAAGCTTGAAGATTGTCAATGTGGGAAAATATTGTACAGCCATTCAGAGAAGATGACGAGTAATAGATTAGGCATATGCTGAAATTCACCTCTGGTTCTCTGTAGCTTTTGAGGTGTCAAGCGACCTGGGAGTGTGAAAACAGGAGGGCCACTAGTACGAATGTGGTGAAATACATAATGTTTTGGATTCGGCTGGTGGAAACTGGGTTTGATTAACTCAAGGGATTGGTGATAAGGCGATTCATCACACTTAGAAAACGTTCTCGGATAGATTGATGATAAACTCGTAGGTCGCGTTCTAACTGATAGATGGGTGTGAGCATCAACAAGGTGTTGCTGTCTCACGTTCACCGATGGATTGAAATGAGTGAGAACGTTGGCGATGGTGAAAATCCATGGGAACTCGTGACGTAACCCAAGATTTGGGCACAAAGCACGGTAATCTTAAGTTCTACTATCAGAACCATTAGCGGCAGATAGCGTAAGAGCAGATGCGATGTGTTAAGCGAGAGGGGAGTAGTGCTAATGTCAGCCCAGACGTTTTGTCAACAACTGTTAGGCAACAGGTAATGTGTGAGTGCGGCCTTGAACTTTACTCGCTTGTATAGTTTGGCCCGAGGGTGTTTTCGAAGATGGTTGAATAGATGAATGGTTAGAGTGGGAACAGCATGACTGAGAAATTCGCGTGTGCGGCGTCCGAAGTTGCTCTGATGCTGGCAGCTTCCCTGGAGGATGAATGGAACCGAGAATGTGAAAGCGAACGCAAAGGTGGGCGGCGATTTGGATAGGGTCGAGAAAAGCGAATAGCTGTGATCTGGTTAACTAAATTATCGAGACGGTCATGAAGTGGAGATACGAATTCTGGTGTCTCTACTGAGAAAATGCTGGAGAGCAAGGCTGGATTTCAAGTATTTTATCCGCGATACTAGCAAGTTCGGCTAGAGGGACGCTATCGGAGCCGGACACGGGCAGTTAAACGTTTAAGAAAGGCGTCCATTTTTCAACCGCTCATGATAGAAAGAGAGTCATTGAGGGATCTTCCGCTAAAAGGCGTTTATATACTGATAAACTAAATAATTTATTAATGGTACTGCGTGACTGTGTGTAAGGTCTTTGTCGTCGGGAGTTGTTATAATATCGTAGATCAGCATCTATTTCTGAGAGAAGTATAGCCAGGGCATGATGATACATGGTAATGTTTCGGGGAATGCCACGTACAAAGAACTGAGCTTGCACCTGCGTGAATCAGGCATTTAGATCGTGGTGCCAACATGGCGGAAGATGGGCAGACGTGGCATGGATATTCGGTGTCGCTGCTATGGAAACTGAGAAACACTCTGGTGTTGAAGAAAATTACATAGTGAAACTTGTGTCTAACCAGAATGGTAATAAAGAACAATTGAAGGCGATTGAATCGTCGAGTTCGTCAATAACTAGGCGGGCTCACCAGGTATTAGTGCTCTACGTAGTAGACGTTGAGCTCAAATATAAAAAAAGAGACACTAAGAAAGTTCGATATCTACAATTATGTTGATTACAAGACGATATGCAAAAATGAAACATACAAAAGTGGGGAGACTTATCATTCTATTCTACCAGATCCGAGATCCGATGAGGCGTGAAGTTGAGGCGTGCTGTGCTGATGATGTAATGCTCAGTGTGTGTAGACGTATGTATTTACTGTGATGGAGTGTGAATTCACATACGACCGTTCCAGTTTGACGGTAGTGGTGTGAAAAAAGACACTTTGTCTGGCTTGTGTCAAGGTCATAGGCATGATGCAAGTGGTAGCAGAGTCAACGAACTAAGCGAAATGGTCGAAAGGCCGATTGAGCGAAGTGGAGGAAATACAACTCTGTCATCTAGCTAAGTCTCAAACCCTTTTTGTCATCTATACACATCCGTCGTTATCCATGGTCTTAAAGCTCACCTTTTACATGGCAGTACAATGTATGCAATCCGTTAACTACCTGTCATTCAGACAGTGCAAGCAATCTATCCCCCACCTACCTGGTGGGCTGGTGCAAAAGGTGAAACTGGAACGGTGCTTACTGCTCCCCCACCACCACAAGCCCAACTGATCAAGCAACCAGCAATCGAACAGACGCCAGTGGCAGGAAGCACCAAGCGAAATTCGTCCTTAATTTTGCAGCGCAACCACGGTTCGGGAATGTCCTGGACTAGCCAAGGCGAACGAGCATCACTCGGTACCGGTCCACAAATCCAAGAAGGTAGGCTACTACTGAATGTTGATCACACAAACAAACCAGAGTGACCACAATCCAAACTATCCTCAATAGCCACACAATTAGTTGCATTGCGTTTTTTATTTGGCGATCTTATTCCATCTATCCATCAAAAACTACTTCCCAAATGAAAATGCAAGTCAGAAAAAGTTCGACATCTCTCGCACCTGTAAGTCGACGAAGATGACCCGTGTTGCAAAAGGTAAGGTTTTCAGACCAGAACAAAATGTGAGCAATTTCCGCCACAAAGTGACGGTTTTTTCTCTGATGGGTTGTCGGCCTCTGCGGCCCATTGTTCTATGCTGCAGGGGCGTCTGTGCGACACTCGCAGTCTCTCATACCAGTGTAACGGTGATACTACTGATGGGGGACATGCGAGTAGTATGTTTTCTCGCTTTGCGTCTCTTAGAAAATGAGATCTATTACGGAATTAGTGGAGTCGCTCTGTAGCATTTGCTCGCAATTGAGTAACAGTGAGTGAAAATCCAGGAAAGTCAGGAAGACGCGTTCAAGGACGAGATGGATATTCAGTTTTGTAAACATGATGCATATGAGGGTTTTGCTTCCCTGTTCAATAGTCTGTAAGTGTTCACTTGGCGTTTTCTAATAAGCAACTCCGCAGCGAGTGCCTTCTTCCTTTCACCAGGTTGGTAAATGGTCGAATCTTTCATCAACACAGACTCCTAGCCCACCAAGTTGGGGGCCAGAACATGTGTGGTGGCTTGTTCTAGGAAAATGGTAATGTACCCACCTTTCCTGCCAAACACCGATGCCTTGCGATCAGGCTTTTGTGCCTAATCGTCTTCCTGCCTATGGGAAGGGCACCGTGGTAGTATCCCAGCACACGAACAGCCTTGAATTGTTGCGACAACGACACAGCCGTGTGTTAACACCGATGTTATGCTGTCTGTGGCGATGATAATGATATCTCATAGGGTATAAAATGCAGCACACAGCCTCGGTAGAAATAAAATGCGTCAATAGTAGTTTGAATTAAGACAATTCACGATAAGAAATTGTGAGATTGGTGTTTTGCGTAGAGCTCCAAGAGTTTCGTCCTTTACCCTATGTGCATTTACACCTCAAGAACAGAACCCTTTGGCTGGTAATATAGCTTTATTTCACTCAGCCTATACAGTTTGCATTTTTCTTCACTGATCTTGAATAGTATGAGACAGGCATTAGAATTTGGACCTGCATTTTGGGCATCGTTTTCGATCCTTGCCTGAATCAAGCGGAAAAGCCGTTTGAGATGACTTTTAACATCACAGTTCCAAACTGTCTAGTCCACAACGGATCAGCCGGGTCCGTTGCAGTCTAGCGACAGCTTGAGCTCCTATTTGGGGGACCAGTAAAAAGACTGCCCTCGAAATGATGTTGGATTCACTGACGAAAAGAGCAAGTGCATTATGAAATAGAGTTGTATTCTTGCTTTTCGTGACCGCAACAGCCACAGACACGTTGCAAATTGCAGTTTTTACAATCGATCCGAATTGACCCAGTTCTTTTGGTTCCCATGGTACTGGCCATGGGAGCCGTACTTCACGGCCAATACGTGTCCGTTTTGCAATTAGAATCTTTCCTCTTTCACTGTGATGTTGCATGTAAAAGAAATGTCAACACATCGCTACATATATCTTCCCGCTGCCTTGACTAAAGAACTGCAAATGAGTGGGAAATGCTATTTTGCACACCGTTTTGTTCTGATTGACAGTCACCCCAGAAACTCGTTTTTTGTAACGCGAGACGGTACATAGAGATGCTGTGGTCAATCATTTACGTCAGCACAAAGTAGACGCGATAAACACCACAAGATAAAATTATGTATCGCTGTGGCGCACGTGCGTAATTCTTTGAAGGCCTTTGGCAGTCATGAGCAGAGGTGTCGTCTAAAGTCACCGATCTGTAACAGGGAGGCGGGTGACCGAGATAGCTCATCTCGTGAAAATTCTCGGCATGCATGAGTTGCCATATGCGTCCTCTACTACGACCTCTGTAAAAGCAAATTCGGTCGTATGAAACAACTGGTCGGGCTAGGGAAGGAAGCGTAACAGGTTGGAAGCCATTCATAGCCACACGGTCGTATTGAAGGGGGTGACGTTACGGGGAGTACAATGCAGTCCTTAATTCACTATGAACAACACATCATTCGTGCTCTTTGTTTCTTTTTTGCTATCAGGATGTCTCCCAGTCTACGAAGTTAACTTTGATTCCAGGCTATGGAGCGTGGTTCAAGAAGCTGCTAGAATGGAACTGTTCGGTCTTGCTCTACCGGAGATCGGGAGGTTTCTTGGACTGCGTGTAAGCGACCCTGCTGTTGAAGCATTGACTAATTCTGGATGATTTCCATGGCATTCAAATCCGTTCATACAAAACGCCTGAATAGAGTGTTGATCTTGTGGTCTCTCAAGTGGCCTGTGTTCTGGGGTGGGACTCATTTTGGAGGACTACTTTGGTAAATCTTCTGGTGAACATTTTCAGTTCAATGTGGCACGGTCAACTGAGTTACAGCAAGAACTAACACCCAAAAGATCATTGTGCCAGGATAGGACATGAACAGATCAAACGAGAGTGGTGTGAAAGTGATTTCCACAAATCTCACAACTATCACATTCAGTTTTGACAGACAGAATTTTCGAATAATGTTTCTTGAAGACCACCGAATGACTATCTTTGTCGGTCTGTATAGGCGAATGATCCGTCTGAACTCCAAATGCAATTGAGTAGCACTCATCGAAGTTAGCAATGGTCGACGTATAAGCATGGTTCAGAGTGAAAAGCCCTCGTCACACCGCCTGAATTTCAATCCGCTGAGAAGTTTAATGACAGTTAATTTTGTTCACCCCAGTGGAATCTGCCTTCAGCATCCCACTCTGTGGTGACCACTGACGAGAGACCTCGACGAATTCATCATTGTAGAATAAGGTTTCAAATTTCTGGTGAGAGCAACCAGGATAAAGGAGATCTAAAATCATCAGCTAAAGTGTGCGTCCTACAAGACTGAATGCTCCTTTTTCAGTACACGTTAGATTTCTGACTAACGTAACTGCGAACATGCCGCAGACTGGAAACTAGCCTCACCGTAGGTGTGACGATGTGTACGATGTACCCTTGGACCTGTGATGGTTTGCGTGCGCTACGGGTGTCAAACTTTCGTCTGCAACCCTTCTGCCCGGTCGGTGTGTGGCTATTCAGTTGCCACCCCTCCAATAGTTTGGTGTCCCTCACGGACCTTTGCTGTCCTCTGGTCCCTCTATGTACCGTTTTTCGTCCTGTAAGTCCACTTAGTGTACTGACCTGTTATCTCGGTTGCCACACAAAGCCCACCACACTAACCTAATTGTTTCCTAAGGCCTTCCGAAAGGCTAGAGTTTATCATCACTGATCGTACGTTTGTACTTCTGCTGTACCTGAACTGACATCCTACAAAATCAAACTCGTGGTTCCTACCGACCCATCTGCTGTTTGTCACAGTCCTGTTGTACCACTACTGATGTGCTCGCTCCAAGTACCTGAGGCCTGTATGAGGTCGAATAACAGTGAAAGCTGATTCTGTGGAATACGTCACACTGTCCCGGATTCTACAGTATCTTCAACCCCTATTCACTACTTACGGTTGCCTGCAGCAGCCAGAATAAGACTTCTCCTCAGTCTCATTTGGCGCACGGCACCCGATTCAGAGCTTCATCAGCAATAAACAAAGTGTTATTAGGGCCTTCATGTCTTCAACTATGAACATTGCAATCACGATCCCTAAACGACGGATAGCTTTCCCACAGCATAAAGTGATCATTTGTGTCCAACCATTTCCAGTAAGTTTTTACGTTGTTGAACCAGCACGAACTCTCGCGTACATTCCTTCAGAACTCCGGGATCAGACATTTGGGTCGCAAATTTCTCGTAATCGTGGGATGGGGTCTTCCGTGCATGGTCTTGAGTGTGAATGCTCATCACCATATCCGTACCTCGATGTGTCCAGTGTGAAGGGCTGAGGTATTCAGCCAAGATAGATGATGGGTGATAGTTCCCATACATGTGGAAGACGTTTAGGTAGGTGGTTTCTGGCTTGCTCTTTTGTCACACAACGAACCGTAAAAGTAACCGGAGTGTTGTGCCTGGAAACGCCACTTTCCGCAAATGGGTTTTTGGGCGAATTTCATCGGAATGATGTAATGGGGAATGAAGCAGGCACAAGTACTCATGGAATCCAAGCTGGTGCCCTCCCTCCCTTTGAATTGGACGCCATCCACGAATGCCTGCGTCACTTCCGAAATACACAATGAGGACTCGTCAATGGCAGCATCCCCTGGTTTGAACTTCCTCTCAGTTAGAGCAGAGCATATGTTAAACTGTCGGGAAATACAGGTTATCAGGCCCACCAACTAACCTTGATACAACTTGTTTGTAGCGCGTTGAAAATTATTCATTTCGATTTGTCCGTTGATCCGTTCTATATGCTGTTTCTCGCTTCTTACAGTATACCTATTATCAGAACGTGGTACTACAACTACAACGCATGGTTGATCGATACGAGGCCATCCGAGTGCAGCTGGATCCACTTAAGGTAGGCATTCGGGCAGAAAGCTTGGAAGCTCGTCCGTAGAACATCGTGACCTGTAAAAGTGTCTTGCAACGAATTTGCTCCACACTTGCACTGATTTGTCCTTTTACCGATAAGCTTTCTGGTTTTACCGGCTATTCACCTCTCTATTTATGTGCTTTATATATAAATATATATAAATGAAGA